GTCAACAATACCATAACGAACGAGTAGCCGACTAAAAGATTTTGTCTAAAAGTGAACCATTATTGAGTACAAGCTGAATTGCGGAAAACATGTCAGATTGTCATCCAAAATTAAGAAACGGTGTGGAGATAAATGGCTGAGGGGGGAAGAGCACCATGCGAGAAAACCGGTTGGCGATGTCCAATAGTAAACCGCTCTGAACGATTTTTGGCATAAATACTACGACTACTCATAAGTAGCGTGGTGTCTAAAAATAATAAGGCTCTTATAAACATCAGTATGAAAGTACTTATTATTAATATATCATCAAACCATGACATAACCAGCAAGAACATCACATGGTTCAACACGGATAGGCTTGCCTAATGTGGCCCAAAAATGTCTCCATATAAGTAGGAAATATTTCTTACGAAAAATCGAACCACATTCGATATTGAACCTCATCAAAGTGACCCCATATCATCTCTCGGACGAAACCGTACACGTTCTTCACTCACCGCATATCAAACTCCAGAAAAACTCCACACTGTTGGTGTGAACGCCGGTCACACGATGTACAAAGCCGTGAGAGAGATGGACCCGCTCCGATTGATGTGCGTTTTATGCGCATCGTGCAAAAAGTATATCCAGCAATGCAAAGCTGGAAATCCTGCAAATGCATCATGTAGCCGTAAACGAGGTTTTGCTCGTACTCTAGGAGACGATGTATGTCCCAACCCCCGAACATGCTTCCAAGGTCACAATCGTAAACAAATATGCCTCAAATTCGCCTTCATCCACGGGTGGCATAATGCAACTAATGGCACTTGAAAAATCATTAAAATAATTTGCAAATATACATACAATTATTACTATTTCATCTCAATGTTCAAATACAAAAATACAGGGGGGTTACTATTGGATACCTCCGCCAACCGGTTAAAACGAAGACGCACAAGTGTGTGCACACACACTTTTGACGGACTAAGGTCAACAACCTCCTAGATAAACAGGCTATAGACAAGCCTATTGTTGGATAGAAGGGAACGAAACGCATGTGGCCCATGCCAAGCGTAAGCAAAAATACAGCTCTTAATTGATATTTAACCACGTAAAAAGACCACTTACGTAGGGATCAAAACAAAAAAACAACTCTCATAAAATTCTTTACTATCGTGTGATTTATTTAATACACAGGTAAAGTTAACTTTTAGCAGAGACTGTTTTTAACATTTTCCACTGATTTTCTGTTAACTTGTGGAGGAACCCCTTGATCGCATCCAGTGACGCGAAATATGAGCTAATGTACAAGACTAGACGTGCTAAACCTGTGGATACTGTTTAAGCAATATGGTCGTTTGCTACGCCGACGCGTGATGCACCTTATAAGACACCGTGATAGAAACAGGTCATAAAATTTGCCCCGGTTTTTATGCGCATCAAAATTGGAAACTAAGCACCAACTTAGTTCAGTATTCCGAATAAGGAAAATAAGAAATAAGCATAGAATGTTGCATCTGCGAAACAGAATAAGATGGGAGAAGAAATCAAAGAATTTTGCCTGATCATTCACTCTCAAGCTCTCAAATAACGACAAGACAGCAATGTATTAAAAAGTAGGGCACGATTATTTTTACATCACAAATGTGTGAGTAACAAAATGTAATGATTTCGAGTCAAAATTGCGAAAAATCGAAAAAGCCGGTGATTTATTAGGTTGTGTAATAAACACAGGGTTATGTCTGCTTGTGCGTGGGTGATGGGTTTGTATGGTAAACTTAAGACACTTTTGAAGTGTTGAGCTTGTGCTACGCACTTTCCTTGGGTAAATTTTGCCATCGGAGTAAAACTTGACCATTTGCCTTGAAAAAAAATGTTTTACCTCATACACACTGCTTCGTCTGCGTATGTTCGAAGAACGCGGAACTTCTGACTTAGAGTAATCACGGATCAAAAGTTCTCACAGCTGAATGTTCTAGTGAGGTTTAAAACTCTGAGGGCGCGAGCAATACTCGGGTGCTACAACCATCTTGTCTGCTTCCTATAAATGTCCACTTCATATTTACCTTGCAAACGTGTTTGTTATGATCTGTTTACGTGAAGCCGTTTGGGAGATCTATATTACTCACCACTGGTCAGTGAAAAGCCTTCAAAATGCAAGCAGTTGTTTAAGAATTCGTTCAACCCTTTTTATAGCCTTATCCATGGACTGGAGGTAAACTTTTGGTGATTACGTACACCAAATCAGACCTTGATGAGAACAATGGAGCTGTACTTTTTGGACACAATGTGATATGTTTCTCTTTCGCCCTTTCGCAGTATTCACACAACGAAAAACACAACTGAACTACGGCTGTTTTTGTTGAGTCAGCGGTAATGTGCAATAATTAGGTATTGATCGACTCAGTGAACAGAATGGGACGGAACCTGTGCTCACCTGCTTGAACAGTTGTTTGGCATGTGTACGTTTATCAGGCTTGGTGGACTGGGCGTACAGACTGCCGAGGATCTTCAATGTTTCGTAGTTATTCGGATGATCTTTCAAAACACGTTCGAAAGACACGGCGGCCTTGGAAAAGTGGAACAGAAAGGAAGTAGAGATAACGTGACCGAGTGTACTGCTGCCATGACTGAGTTAACCTTATACGTGCGTCAAATGTGAGTGAGTATAAAAAGAAGGCAACAGACACAATAACTGGAATGAACAACAAGTATAACAACCGCAGAACATTGTTTTACTATCGAAAATGTAAAATAATGCCGCGACTAAAGAAACGTACCGTTTCCTCTGAGGTTCAATATAAATAATTAATTAATAAATATAAAAAACCGTTTCAGAATGGCTTCCAGTTTATCCTTCAAATAAGACATTCTCGAATTGTGATTCAGTCTTCAGAACAGAATGCCCAACTTAGAGTATCAAGCTTGGATTAGCCTATTCGATTGTTCAGAGGCACCAGGCACTCTTGATGGTTCTCGGTGCCCAACTGTTTTTTCTTCGGTTGAGATCTGAGCCGCGTGCAGGGCAAGCCATTAACTTATTTACCTGAATACTGCGGAACCAAAACCAGTTTCTGGTCGGGTGAATTGTAAACTAAGGTCTTATCCCACTGGAATACGGCTTCTGCCTGACCATGCAATGACTGCAACAGCAGCGAATAGCGTTTAAGCGTACTAACATGTGCATCGAAATCTTGAACGCCATGCAGAATGGCGAGATTATTTGGATTGGAAGCTGAAAATGCGCCCTAGGTCATCAGCAAATTATTATCCACTGACATATTTTTCATCTTTTTTATTCCTACTAATGATAGTTCCACGTATTTGGTCCATCCAAATTGAACTTTTCTTGGTCACAGAAAGACGTAGTTCCACTGGTCCAACTGTGTAACGTGACTTTAAACCCATTGCGATAGAGCCTCTCGTTGATAAAGCATTCTGAATCGTTTTCGCTCAACATTTGATGATATTTTCCAACGAGCCAGTGTAGCGATTAAAGTGATACAGTTGACTTGGATCCGATTATCAAACCTAGAAATCACTGTGAGCATTCGATCAAGGCGGTTCCAATTTAAACATTTGCACTTTTATAATCAACTTTCTGCCACGAGCTCACTCACGCGTCCATGGTTGGGTGCAGATGGGCTCTACCGTAAATATTGAAATGGTAAATCAATATGCTGCGGAGGAATGGCTGTTCCACGGCATACTATCTTGCTTCATTTGAACTAAACCCTGGGAAGATCAGATACTTCAGTCGCCTTACCATTTTATATTCTCGATTGTATATTCTTTTAACTGAAACTTATAGCCAAATTTCGTATATAGGCATTTTACTTGAGTGCTTCAATAATATCAATGGTTATTACACTTCACTCATGAATGAAAATCTGCGAAAACCTAGGTAGGTACGCGACTTTTGTTTATTATGTATTTTCTAAATACAACATCTGAACAGTCTAAAATATATCGCGCACGCACCAACCCTAGGACTTGGAGTGACGAACCACATAAGGCTCCACTAGGACAAGTGTGATACTAAACGGGAAAAGTTGCCTAAACAAAAAACCTGTCACTCACATGTTCTAGATCATTTCGGTGCAGATACATCTGACCGAGGCCGTAGAATGGAAGAATGAAGTTTGGCGAGGCCATTTGTGTGGCCAGATAGTAATACTGAAATGCATTATCATAGTTTTCTTGCATGTGGAATGCTCGAGCCATCTGATAGCAGCTTTCGGCACGCATCGCCTCGGTCTCGGTGTTATAAAATGCGTGAATTGCCAACCGATGGACTTTGGCATATTCCTTTTTGTAGAAGAAATGGTCGGCAAGATGATTTAGCACCATGGGATTCGTGGGATCCAGGTTGTACGCACGGGACAATTTTTGTACACCTTGTTTGATAGATTCCTGTCGAAAAATGCATGGTATAAATGATGATGCAGGAACAGAGAAAACAGATACAAGATGTTGGAGAACATGGAACGCTACCTGAAAACCATGAAAGATGATAATCTAGATCCCGTTTCCTTACTATGCACCTTAGTGGGAATAGTAGAAGTACTGAAGCAGATTGCCAAGAGGACTTGATGCTTAACTGTGGAAACCGGCTACACGAACCCTGGGACTTTAGGCAGCGAACAATATAGAACCCAATAACAAATAAACCGGAGGACAGCGAGGCTACCTACCACCAAAGTTAGCGGCAATGGCACGATTTGAACCTCGTACGTAAGGGAATTGAAACAAGTCAGTGGCAGGTACTTAAATATATTGACCACTCAATAAGACCAGCGGTGCGGTAGCGAAACATGACAGCCGTAGGATGAATTTCTGCACACAACCGTGTATACAGCCTCGACAGTGATAACGAGATAAACCACCGGATTAATGAGTCAAGAACAGAAAATATCTGCTTAAAACGCCTACTGGCGTCGCCACCACAATGTTGGATATGCACCAAATCAGAACACCTAAGTCGCTGAT